CAGGGGAGGTAAAGACCCTGATGATCCAGCTGCTTCAGGGGGTGAGGCACCTGCACGACAACTGGATCCTGCACCGAGACCTGAAGACGTCCAACCTGCTGCTGAGCCACGCCGGTGTCCTCAAGGTGACCCGAGCCCCCTCCACTGCCTCCTCGCGTGCCCCGCCCTACTGCTTCTCAGCCCTGCCACAGCCCTTCCCCTCTGCTTTCCAGGTGGGTGACTTTGGACTGGCCCGTGAGTATGGGTCCCCACTAAAGGCCTACACCCCAGTTGTGGTGACTCTGTGGTACCGTGCCCCGGAGCTGCTGCTGGGTGCCAAGGTGAGTGTCCACAGGGTCCTGGGGGTGGCCAGCCAGAGACCACGGATCCTCTGAGCTGGCTGACTGCCAGGTGTCTGACCCCACAGGAGTACTCCACAGCTATTGACATGTGGTCTGTGGGCTGCATCTTTGGGGAGCTGCTGACCCAGAAGCCCCTGTTCCCTGGAAAGTCCGAGATCGACCAGATCAACAAAGTGTTCAAGGTGTGGGGGCTGCGGGCAGGGTGGAGCTGGACTGGGGTCAGCTGCAGCTGGGCCAGGCTGTCCTGAGGTGTTCCCACTTCCTAGGACCTGGGAACTCCTAGTGAGAAAATCTGGCCTGGCTATAGCGACCTGCCGGCTGTTAAGAAGATGACATTCACCGAATACCCCTACAACAACCTGCGCAAGCGCTTCGGGGCGCTGCTCTCCGACCAGGGCTTCGACCTCATGAACAAGTAAGTGCCTAAGTCCCACCCTCAGTGCCGTGCTACATTGCCTAAAGTGTTAGGCCGGCCCTGTGCCCAGCACAGCCCACCGGTAGTCCCTGGCCCCCCACCTGATGGCCAGGTGCCTGTCCCCAGGTTCCTGACCTACTTCCCTGGGCGGCGGATCAACGCTGAAGATGGCCTCAAGCACGAGTATTTCCGAGAGACCCCACTTCCCATTGATCCCTCGATGTTCCCTACGTGGCCTGCCAAGAGCGAGCAGCAGCGGGTGAAGCGAGGCACCAGCCCTCGGCCGCCTGAAGGGGGCTTGGGCTACAGCCAGCTGGTGAGCAGGGCTGGGGGCCAGCAAGGGGCATCATGGGCAGGAGTGCTGTGTGGGCAGGGGTGGGATCCTCACCGTGCGCTGACTCGCTCCCCAGGGTGACGACGACCTCAAAGAGACTGGTTTCCACCTGACCACCACAAACCAGGGGGCCTCCGCTGCAGGTCCTGGCTTCAGCCTCAAGTTTTGACCTCAGCGGATGCAGTGCCCCCGCAAAGGGCCTGGCTGAGCAGGGGATGGAGGTTCCCACTGGTGAGGAGAGCGGCTTAGCGGTGTCCAGACTGTGGCGGCAGCTCCAAGGCCAGGGCCTGCTGGCCCAAGAAGCCAGGTGCAGAGCTCCGTTTCTGTTCCTACTTTGTTTTCCATGGTTTATTTTTATTTTGTTTTTGGCTTGTACATTTGTAGAATTAAATCATATTTTCCTTGTTGTAGAGGGAAAGGTGGTGGTGGTTTTTCAAGTGGATCCAGTTTCTTTGAGGGTGCCCGGCATGTTCAGCACACACACACACACACACACACACACACACACACACACACACACACACACGCGCGCCCTAAGCTGTGTGAGCACAGGCCTCAGCCAGTCAACTGGTGCTGTGGGAAGGTTTTTCTCGATTCATCTACAGGAGCCTGCAGACTGGCATCTGGAGCAAGTGCCTTCTTGCTTCCTCTTGGGGTCACCCAATTCGGTGGTCCAGGTGTGCCTGGCCCCTGCCCAGACCCCTAACACCGTGCAGGGGCTTATCTACTCGGTCGATGGAAATTTAAACGTAAACTATTCGAGGAATCAGCTCTCAAGTGTCTTAAACTCAATGTCCTGGCAGCTTGCCCAGAGCTGAGTGGTGGAGGTAGGCCCTAGGCAGTTCATGGTGGTGTCTGACCACATTGCTGGCACAGCCCCACCTCCACCCTCTCCAGTACCATTACCAGAGGACACTGGCAGGTGGAGGCCCGGGCCTGGGGTGGAGAGTGACTGGTCTGATCAATAGGGCACCAGCTTCTGCCACTGGAATGGCCTGGGGGCGCCTCCCCTGTCTGTTCAAGTTAGTCAGCAGCCAGCCAGGCAAAGGGCTCTGGTCAGCCCAGATCCAGCCCACTCTTGCTGGTGCCTGTCTGCCCGCCCACTGTCCAAGCCCCTGCCCAGGGCCTCCACTGGTGCTTCTGACCCCAGCTGTGCTGCCTCAGTTTACCCCACCATGTGGAGTAAGCCAGCTGGGGAAGCCCTTTCCCTGCCACACCCTGAGCTCAGGAATTGTGAGGGAAGGGGGGCTGTTACAGCCTGTAGGGCACCTCGCCAGGCCCAGAGCGTCCACCCACAAAGAACGGGCAGAGACGAGCTCGTAGAGAAAGCGCTTTATCAGTCCGCCCCTTCCTGTGGGCCACAGTGGGCACACTAGCTCCGCACACGGACTCGCCAGGAGTAGGTGGTGAGCACCTGCCGGTGCCTGCGCACCACACACGTGTAGGTGCCCTCGTTGATGGCGTTGGCGATGATGCTCAAGTGTGCCTCCCCGAGTGCCAGGTAGCCGGGGTAGGAGAACTCCAGGGGCTCCTGGTCCTTGTACCAGCTACAAGGGGGTGAGGACCACCAGCTAGCTAGGCTGCCCACCTGCAACCCCACCCTCCAGGAGGTGCCCTTTGACTCCCAGGGCAACCCACTCCGCAGCCCCAGCACGTACTACACTTTCCCCTTCTTATGCAGGATCTTCCGGCCACAGCTGAAGGTCATGTTCCTGCCTTCAGGCACCAACCTTGTCTTGGTCCTTGGGGGAGGTGGGGTGGTGGCCACCGTGGGGAAGGGGAACTCTATGGTGCGTCAGGGAGGAGTGCCACATCAGTGTCCCTACCACCCCCTCCCCCCCAGGGCACATTAGCAGGTGCCTCCCCGCCCCACTGCCCTGACATCACCGTAACAAAAGTCGCAGCTGCTGGGACACAGCCGCTTCATGAGCCTCTGGCGGGCATCGCAGAAACCTCTCCGTGCCCAGGAAGCACACACGAAGAGTCTATCCAGGCAGCCTGAGGAGGGCGACCTGGCTTATGGCCTGCCCCAGCCCCTCCTGGGCCCACTCCCAACCCCTCCCGCCACCTCGAATCCACCCCCATTCACCATAGAGCCGGTGCAGCCCCCACATCTCGTCCTGCGACAGTGCCTTCCAGCCGCGCAGCGTGGCGTTAAGGTGCATGAGGGCCCGGCCGTGCTGCGAGTGCATCAGGCCCAGCGCGTGACCAATTTCGTGGGCTGCCACGTGCACCAGGTCCGTGAGCCACACGCCTGCAGGCCCCGGAATCAGCATTGGGAAGACCCCCAGGCTGGCCGGCCAGCTCCTCCAACCCGCTGGCTGACTGTGCGGAGGAGGAGGCCTCTCCTCCGGAGATAACAGCTGTGACTCTGGCCCCAGGAATGCGGCTCAGCGCCCTCAGCGGTCACGGGCTGGGGGTGGTTCTGGGCGCCGGAACCTCAGGCCTGTGCCACTTTCCCAACCCCTCCGCCCTCGCCCAGCAGCCTCCGGGTATAGCCAGTTTGACCCTAAATCGCCACCACCCGTTGTAGCCCCACCCCTGAGGAGTGCCTGACGGCTTGGAGCGGGGGCGGCACCGGTCACCTTTCTTCCAGCTGTAGCGTGTGTGGCCTAGCACCCAGTACTCGCTGTCGTCGAAGTGGATGCCACCATGCGGGGGGAAGAAGGCGTGCGCCAGCTCGCCCGTGGGGCCGTCGAAGCAGTGGTGCAGGGCCGAAGACAGGCAGTCCGTGTGATTGATGGGGTAGAAGCCTGCGGGTAGCACGGAGCTGAGCGGGCTGCGGGCGGGGCGGGGCCAGGGCAGGGCAGGCGCCCACCTATGCGGAGGTCGCTGGGCTGCTCGGGGGCCACCTCTCGGAAGCTGAAGGGGGACACGTCGCTCCACATGCGGAAGGCGGCAGCCAGGCCCCGACGGGTATCCCTGGGACTCAGCAGGTTCCGTGGGAAGGAGAGGATCCTAGCAGGGGAGGGAGGGGTGATGGGAAGGAAGGGCCCTGAGGAGGTCAAGGTCAGGAACAGCGGGAAGGAGGGGCTCGTGGTGGGAGGACCTCGAGGTCAGGGGTAGTGTGTCAAGGTGGGACTGACCCCAGACCCAGAGTTCACACCTGTAAGTCAGGTTGAAGTGGTCCCAGCGCAGCCTGGCCGGGGTCAAAGTGTAGCGGCGTCTGCGGGGCACCTGATGGGGTGGCGGGCTGGAGACTGGGGTGGCAGGGACACCCGCAGGATCTGGCGCAGCCACGTCTCCCTTCAAGAGATGAGCGTGGCGTGGGGGCGGGGTCAGGCAGGAGGGTCCCTCATCCCAATGCTTGGGGAGCGACTGGAGGAGGGTGGGGGGCTGCAGGCATGGACTGTCGCATAATCTTCGTTTGCCCGCCCCCCACCCCGCCCCAGCGGGCGTTCCTTGAACACGAGTGATAAAATGGTTACCTAAACTGGGCAAGAATCGAATGGGCGGGGCTGGAGCCAGATGTGTTGCTTCTCTCCCCTCCCCCCAGTCCAGCGGCTGGACCTACGGACGCACCTCCTCACGGACGCCTGTCGGACACCTTCACCCCGCCCCGGCTCCAGGACACACCCGCCCGGACCTCGTTTCGGGACCCGCCCGGCCGGCTGCTCTCACCTGCGCTGCGGGGATCCCCGGCAGGGCCAGCAGCGCCAGCAAGGGGAGCAGGCACAGGGCGCCCAGGACAGCTCCGAACCAGCGGCCCAGCCCCGGCACCCCCAACGCCTCCGAAGGGGCGCAGGCCCCGCGGCCCATGGCTACGCGGACTAGCTGTCGGGCGGGCGGGGGGCCGCGCTGCGCCGGGGGCGGGACGGCTCCGGTTACAGGCCCCGCGGGGCGGGAGGGGGCGGAGGGGGGGTGTTAAGGCGCGGCCGCCCAGAAGGGAACCAGCTGGCCGCCCGTGGGCAGGACGCCGCGCCACTGCAGCCTGGGCGGCGGAGACCCGGCTCCTGTCGTCGGAGGCAGCGGTCTGGGAAGCGGCTGTCAGGAGGGGCCGTCTGGAGGGCTTGGGGGGCACCCCAGGGCCCGGAGGTTCGGACGGCCAGGGGCTCAGGCTTGAGGAAGGGTCCTCTTACCGGCTGAGGGCTGAATGGCCCAGTGGCTTTCTCTCTAAAGGGAACCACCCCATCCCAGGCACCGGATGAGACTCTGGCTCAGTGGGGCCAGCCCAGGACGCGGTCCCCGCGAGAGCAGAGAGGAGGGGAGGCGACCGCTGAGTGTGGGGTGGCTGACAGGGCGGAGAGAGGCTGGGGCGGGAGGGGGACGTGGGGACGTGGCGTTAGGAAGGATCCCAGAAAGGAGCGCAGGAAAGGGGACAACCAGAGGGGCAGGGCAGGGGTGGGAGGACCCCCAGGTGGGCAGTGGGGGAAGGGGGGAACAGGTGGGCAGTCCCTGAATGCAGGCCTTTGCACAGAAGGGGCCCGGATGGCGAGGAGAGAGAAGGGGGAGCTGAGTTGAGTGCGGGGCATCTACAACTGTCCAGGTTGAGGGGAATGAGGAGCTGTACTGACCCCCCCTTCCCCCCAACGAGATCAGACGCCTCTGGGCGGGGAGAGAGCCCTGGAGGGCAGGAAAGACTGCCGGAGAGGGCCAGAAGGGGATGCGTCCAGTCCCCTCCCCTCTTCCAGCCATCCTGGCCCTAGCAAGGGTGACAGCTTAAGTCTGGCCAGCAGGGTCAGAGCCAACAGCTGGCGGGCAGCCTCTGGGAGGCGGACGGCGGGTGGTTCTTGGAAAGCGCTGCGGGCTTCAGCTCAGGCCAGGGCCCCGCTCCGTAAATATTCACCCCAATAAGCTCTCTGCCCCACCCTGCGTGTGGCCCACGTTCCCCTCATCCCATACTCCTGCATCCTGAGACCCGGTACACCATCACCCAACACTCCCTGCTCAGCCCCAGCGCCAGGACCCTGAGTGCCCTCTCTCCAGAGGGACTGCAAGGATGCAGGCATCTGAGGGGCTAGGGGCACAGCCGGGGGTCTGGAAGCCTGTAGCTGGCCAACGGGACACAAAGGTCCCGGTCTACTTACTGGGGAACAGCGGCCTGGGGGCAGAATGAGCTGAGCCACCCAGCGTGCTGCTGGAGGACAGCAGTCCCCCTCTTCTGTCCCGTGTGAATGTCCCCACCCCGTGCCTGGCTACATTCTCTTCCTGGCCTGGTGGGGGAGGAGGAGCTGGCCCAGTAGGTCATGACTGACAGCTGGCGGCAGCGGGAGGGGGGGCGGGTGGAGCCCCTGGGAATACGGAGAGCGGCTGAGAAACCGCGTCGGGACGGCCTGGGTGGCGCAGGTGGGTAGGGACTGGGGGCAGTCAGGGGCGCGCCCGCAGGCAGGCAGGCAGGCAGGCACACACAGAGTACGTGGATCCTTTTATAAAACATGGTGGCAGAGGGGTGAGGGGGCCGGCAAGCCGGCTCACACGAAGATCTGGATGCGGTCGCGAACGGGCTGGCGGCAGATGGGGCAGGCGCTGAGCGCGGCGCCGCAGGGCGCGCAGGCGCCGTGGCCACACTGGAACACGAGGCGGATGTGGCTGTCGATGCAGATGGGGCAGGTGATGCGCTCCTCCATCTGCCGGTAGCGGCTCTGCAGTTCCTCCACCAGCTGCCGTGGCGGCCCGGGAGCAGGCTGGGCGCTGGCCACCTCCGTGCCATCTGCAGGGGGTGGGAGCGACGGGTGTGAGCCACCACAGGGCAGAGGACCAGCCCTTTCAGTTTGGGGGTACTAAGGGTCAGGTGATAGGGGACGGAGTGCAAGCCCAGCACCACCCACCTGGACGCAGCTTCTTGCTGATGGCCACCTGGCACCTGATGCACTTCTTCATCCGGCGGGCACACTCTGCGGGAGCGGAGCGGGTGGCGCGTTGGGCGGAGCCTCTCTCCCCTCCCCATGACCTGGTGCCCCCC